CAGGAGCACAAAACATCTTGTACCAGGCTTGCAGTTCGTCATATGAGGGGTCAGATTTCTCAGCGACACGAATCTTGATAGCTTCCATATCGGAGAGCAGATTTCGGTAGAGCTCATTGGCAGCCTACGTTTCCTCCTCCTTCTTAGCGAGTTCCCTTAGGAAGGCTTCCGTGGCTGACTTGGTTTCACTCTCTTGCTTAAGAAGCTGAAGCTTAAGTTGCTCGAAGTGATCCATAGAGACCATTTGCGTTGAGGGATTGGGTTGCAGAAAAGTAGATGAAGTTGAGAGATGAGTTTGGGAAGGAATGATGGGGTTTTGAGGGGAAGGGGTGACCGGGCCGAGAGGTGGAGGTGTTCTCGAAAAAGGTGGTGGAGGGATAGAAAAGGGGGAAGGGGGAGACAAAGGTTTAATTTTGATGGCTAGTGCGCAGACCTTATATTGCCTCTGGGAGTTGTTATGGGTAACTAGAAACAGTAATTTCTGGGGGTCGTGCATAGTAGGATTAAAGCATTGGATAATCCTAGCAGGAGTGTAAATGGGAGGAAAAATGGGAAGTACAGCAAGGACTTCTGCCCCGGTGAGTGAAGGGGGACCTGAGGCATTGAGATAAGCTAAAAGCATACTAGAGTCCATCTGAAACACATGAAAAAGAAAGTAAGGTTATATTAGATAAGAATATTTTTAGAAAGAAAACATAATTTTGATGATTTTTTCTTTCGTCCATCATTCTTTCTTTCTCCTTCTCCCCCTTTTTCCCTCTTCCGTCCTGTTTTCTCTCCTCTTTTTTTTTTTTTTTTTTTGAATTATTCTGCAGGGGGAGACCAGACTATAAATTTTCAAGGATAACTTGTCTAAGAAGTTCTCAAACTCTAAAAAATAAGAGGGCGATTAAGAGGATAGGTGGGGTTAAAAAGAAGATGATAAAAATGCGGGAAAAAAATTAAAGTATTTTAAAAGGAAAACATAGAATTAGGAGTTGGTTCTTAGATAGTGAGAAGATTTTAAGAAGGGCGACAAAAGGCGTAAGCACGAAGATATCCGTCAATCTGTCAAGAAAGGTGTCCATGGTGCCTGCAAGACAAGATTTGGCTAAGAATAAATAATTGAATTGTTCCACTGCAGGGAGGGTAAAAAATACCTCAATTCCGAAGTTCCTTTCACCTCTTCTCTCTTCCCTTCTTGTCTGTTAATATTATTATTATTATTATTTTTTTTTTCTTTTTTTTAAAGAAATAAAGTTCCACAGATTTGCTTGATCTGAGATAATTTAGATAGATGGTGTAAGCTAAGGTGCAAACTTTCAAAAAATCTAAATACCTTTTTTATTATTATTTTATATATATATATATATATACATATATATATACATATATATATATATATATATATACTAGGCTACCAGAGTGGCCCAGGGTCACTTGCCCGGCCGGGCCAAAAAAACTTAAAAAACTAAAAATAAAAAACTTATTTTTAAGTTTTATTTTTTATTTTTAAATTGGTGAAGAATTTCGATATGACCCTGAGGCAAAAGTTGTTCAGTTTATTTTTTTGCATAACATAGGTGTTTTTTGGATCTTTTTGGATTTTTTTGTTTTTGCTGGGAGCTTCCCTGGTCCTTGCACGGGTTGGCCACCCGGAACCCTGGCCGCCCGGCTGGTAGCCTAGTATATATATATATATATATATATATATATATATATATATATATATATATATATACAGGGTTACCGACGTTCGGGACGGGCCGAACGCCCAAACCCGAACGCCCGAACGTACGGGACCCCTTCGGGAGGCGTTCGGTCGTTCAGGTCGAACGTACAAAAAAAAAAAAAATCAAACAATTCCGAAAACAAACTATGTTATGGAGACAAATAAACTTAACAACATTTGCCCGGGCACTACATCCAAATTCTTTACCAAATTAGAATTAAAAATCCAATACGGAAAATAAACACTATGATAAAATTTCATAAAAATAAGAAAAAATAAAAAGAGAATTAAAATGAGTGAGTGTGCCAGCACCTTTTCGACACCGCCATCTTTGCCGATTTTTAATTATTTTTTGGAATTGAAAAATGCTCTGAAAATTTGCAGATATGTAGTTTACATAATCAAGAACTCACTTAAAAGTTTTCAAAAAATAATAAAATTGTTTAGGCCCCGAAATAAACTGAAAACAAAAAGTTAAAAGTGCAAAAAAACAAAATAGTGAGTGGGCGAGCACGTTTTGACACCCCCATCTTTGACGATTTTTAATGTTTTGTTGGCTTAGAAGAATGGATTCAAAATTTATAGGTACGTAGGTTACAACATAGAGAACTCAAAAAAAAAACAATCAGAAAAAAAACGTATTTTTAGGCCCTTAAATATTTTTTTGCGGGGGTCGAGCCTCGAGGTGTTCGGCCCCCGAACGGGACCCCGAACGCCCGAACGTTCGGGGGCCAGCCCGGGGGCCCCCGAACGTTTGGTTAGGGTACCCTGTATATATATATATATATATATCGTCAAATAGAACTGCCCGGTAAACCGTAGGCAGAGAGGGAGAAGAGGACAACAAACAAGGGGCTGTGACAAACTGTTTTGTCGGAGTTTCACCGACTATATATATATATATATATATTACCGGGCAGTTCTGTTTGTGACGATATATATATATATATATATATATATATATTTATTTATTTATTTATTTTTTTCAAGACAAAATAGTTGGTTGACCCTGATTTGTGAGGGTCACCTTACTCAGATTTAAATGAGCATGACATAACAACTAAACTGATGATCTTTGCAAGCATTCAAATAGTCAAGCTATGATCCTGATCAGGTTGCTAGATCGCTAGGTTCCTGAAACATGCATAGTTGCTGATTTCAGAAGTGATATGAACATTGAAATGGTTGCTTAGGCAACATACTGATAGACCTACTAAGGTTAAAAGTATTGCTTGGCCGGAAACCTCATAATTCAAACCGGCAGCCTTGGCTGGATTCATTTTACAATTATCCTGGTCGTGCATTACCCACATACCTTTCCGACCTTTTTCTAGTCGAACACAGGTTCTTGGTTGACCAGAGAGATAGGAAAAGAATGGATTGACAGGAAGAGAGGGAAAGGATGGTAAGGTGAAGAGTAGAGATAGACCTAAAGATAAGGCCGTGGTTATTCGGTTTCAACCTGGAGAGTTATCCCGACCATCTCGGTCGGTTTTATTTACAATTGGGTTTGGTCATTACCTAAATATTTTCTTACTACGTTGCCACTTGTACGCACCCTCGTACGAGTACGGATTCGTACTCTTGTACTCGTACGCTACTCGTACGCTAGGGGCCCTGTACGAGGTTTTTTTTTTTTTTTTTTTTTTTAATCCGATACTGTTTTGATTTTGTTTCTCAAATTATATTAAGAATCGGAAAATGATGCTCAGCCAAATGTTGCTTGTTTTATGGTTTTGCATCACATAGTTTTTTTTTCGGATCTTTTTTATGACTGTTTTTTTTTTTTTTTTTTTTTTTTGCTTTTTTGTACGGGGATGTACAAGACGTACAGGTTCCCGTACAGATCCCGTACAAATCCCGTACAAAAATAACTTGTACGTTTCGTATGGGAAGCCCCCGTACGTGTACTCTATGTAACATAGTTCTCTAACCCTCTTTTTTTTTTTTTTTTTTAAATAACACAGGTTCTGGGTAAGCCAGGTGTTAGAAAACGAGGGTGACAAGGGTTAAAAAAGAGTAGAGACAATCAACATGGATGTAATCTAAAAGATCTCTTTTAAGAATGATATCGCTTTTTCAGCTGTAATTGCGGGTACAGTTGGCATATTAATCCTGCAACCTAACGTTCTATCAGAAGACTTTCAACAATCCTTGGAATTGAGTTTGCTGCCTGATTTATATGTGATTAGAGAGCAAATTTAAGCAAACTGAGGTTGGTGAATATAAATAATGGCCGGTCTTTCCCAGCCCTTTCTGTAGTTAAATTGCGGAATTGTTGCTGAGATTGCTGAATTGAAGTACAAGAAAATTTCCCCTCTGTTTATTTTTTTATTTTATTTTTTTAGATCGAAATAGGCTTGAAGAGGACGAGTCATTATTTATGCATGCCCGATTTTACACAGTACTGGTTGCAAATAATGTTGTTGGTTTATTGATCACATTAAGGCGGAAAGGCTGCCATGATAATTCCATGGTTAGACTTATAACCTCCTTTAGAAAGAAAAAAAATCTGGAATAGATCTGGAACAGGTTTGGTGCAGACAAGTCAGTTTTCATTCATGACCGATTTTACTCGGTCCTGTTTGACAGGAATGTCCCAACAAAGCGGATGACGATGGGCAAGGTTGATAAAGACAGGCTTGACTTTTCAAGAAAGACATGATAATCTAGTTAACTTAATACTAAAAACCTATTGCAAATTTTAATGATCTGGTTAGTTCGTATGAATAAGAACTGAGAGTTGTGCTCCTAGTTATACTGTCTTCAAATAATACTCATTGCTTAAGATTTTCCGTAAAATGAGATAGCGGTAAGGTAAGGTCTACTAGCATATAACTAAGTGAGCTAACCTTGGGTCAAAAAACGAGATCATAAGTAGAAAATCCGTCCTGAGGCTAAGTCATCTAAGTTGAGTTCACGGAAATTTTTTAATTGCTTATTAGGCACAACTCTTGCTTAAAATTGATTACAGATTGATGGTGATGAAGAAATAAGGAAAAATGCCCAGTGGATTGATCGAATAAGTCAAGAGCTATCCTCCTGTTGAACGACACAAATACATGCCACGATGCCCAACTCTTCTCCTTTTATCTTTTTAACACACCCACGCACGATAACTCGTATGGTTTTTTACCATTCGGTCTACGATTGAAGACTTGTTTACGTTTGCTCTGCTTTGCTTTGCTTTCGAAGACTTTCTCTATCCTTCATACTTTGAACTGCACACGATAACTCGCATGGAAGTCAGGAATACTAGGTGTAGTGACCGTGTTCTCATCATACTTAGGGCTAGCATGTTTGACTGTGTATCATCGGGAAGAAGAAGACGATTGCGTCCGAAGACTGAGGGACCTGGAAGTCGTCGTAGCCTTGTGAGTCTGTTATCTGTGTAGTACTATCGTGATTGCACCTTGAGTTGCCCTGTGGGTGGACTGATGCCTGGAGAACGTAGGGACGGATACCGCTCAGGGAATGATGCTAGGCGCGAGGCGGACCGTCACCGGGACGATAGACGGAACGAGCGGTATGAAGATTGGCGGTCTTATTGCCCTCCCACATGCTTCGCATGTGGCGAGCCAGGGCATTATGCCAATCAATGCCCGGACAAGGACAGGAGGCGGTATGCTGAACGGCCGTCTACCTCATCTGACTACCGCCAGTTGGACCAACCTCGAAGAGCGGACTATCGGAGACGACATGACTCGCCTCCAGGCGATGGTGGGGAAATAAGGAATAATGTGGCGGAACTTGGTAAATCCGTAGGCGTCATGAAAGACTTCTTCGACGAAGCAGGGTTGAGGAAGGAGGAGCGGGAGCGGAAGAAACGTGAGAAGGAGGCCGAAGCCCTCGAAGCTGCGGAGCGCGAACAACAGGAGAAAAAAGCTAAGAAGAGGGAAGAGAAGTGCAAGAGGGAGCTCGATCTGGAGGCGCAGCGTCGAGAAGAGTAGAGGAAGGACACTGATTTACACTTGGCGATCCGGCTCAGCGCGATGGAGGAAAATTTTGCTCATAAGGTGGACAGCGTCATTGGTCCTATCCGAGATCTGATCGAGCTCGGAAAAAATAAGGTTCCCTACGCTGCTAAGAGTGTACCGCTCTCTTATGAAGAAAGTGACACTAGCTTCACTCAGGAACTGAGTGCGCAAACGGAGCGGTTGTGCATCGCAGATAAGAGAAAAAGGGGGCCGGAACCTGAGTTCGATGACAACCCTCCAATGGAATTACCACCCAAGCGTACACCCAAGCGAGGAGTGTTGAAGCCTACTGGGCTTGCTCGGAGATTGACGAGAGCACGCACTGTGGTCAAGTCTCTTGGATCCATAAAGAGAAAGTCACCGGTCAAGACCCCCTTGTCGGCAAAGGGGAAGAAGAAGCTCATGCCACGAAAGCTCAGTGCTGAGATCTGTACGCCAACAAGCAAAGGTGCCCTTAGACGACTGTGTTTTCTCGACTCCATGATGAAAGAACTCAAGGATTTGGACGCCACCGAATTACAACGATTATGTAAGGAGGAAGGTGTCCCGTACGACGGTAAGATTGATGCGATTTTTGCTATCGCAGACAACCGTGCTAGGGAAAAGTTCAGTCTAGATGTTGTCGATCCGGTTGATGTGATAGCAATTGATGTGTCGGATGTGTCTGCCCCGCCTAAGGAGGCACAAGATGAGTGATGTGGGTGGGAGATTCCGATTCTTTGGAAGTTGTGCCGATACTTTGTTAGTTTGCGAAATGAATCTACTGTAGTTAACCGTCTTGTTGAGGAGATCTTGCAACTGGTTGTCCTACGATTGTCTCTTGACTGTGAAATCAAGTAGAGTCAACGCTGCATTAATAACAGGTTGAGTCTGTACGAGAAACACGGGATTGAGTTTTTACGTTTAAAGAATGTCGGTTATGTCGGATTATCGCCTTTCTGTAAGTCTCTATACATTGCTAAGACTTCGCGTGACCTGCTCACTAGGTGGCGTGAACACCTTAATGTGGTCAAATCCAGAAGGCCTGCGCACGTTCATAGATGGTTACTGAATTTTGGGGTAGGAAACTATGTCCTGCTCCCGATTGATCATCTTGATGGAAATGACTTGTTGAAGCTCGAGAAGGTGAACATCGATCGCTGGTCTCCTTTCTTGAACACGACCGGTGTGAAGAAGACGTATAGAAAAAGGAAACCTAAGCCTTGCCGTCGAGAACGTGCGAAGCTGAAGAATATTAAGGAGCATCTTACCGCGAATGATAAGGTCCTGCGTTTACGTCGTGCGACGACTGAACCTTGGTGCGTTGACCTCTACAGTTTGCTTCACTCAGCCTATGAGGAGGGACGTGATGGTTTTCCGCTTTTGGTTGAAGGTGGTAATGTCTGGCAATCTGGATGGAGGAGGTTATGTAGGGCGTTTGGTGAGACGAAATTGAAGGTAGGAAATGAGGTAGTTAACTTGAAGCAAGAGAAGTTAGCTCTCCAACAAGGTGGTGTGTTCCATCCGGTGCATATATGGAAGTGGAAACCGAGATGCAGGTATCTGAAACATCTCCTCATCCAGATACTGCGCAATTCTCGGAAAGTGGAGGACGTGTACCGTTGGAACATTAAATCGCCGCTGAGATTGTACAATGTAGTGAAGGATTTTTGCAAGAACTCTACTCGCAAGTATCTGCGTCGGCTGATCTCCAGGATTTTTAGGTGTCGGTTCAATTTTTGTATGGGATCTGATCCAGTGTTTCGGCTCAAGTTTGATGATAGGATAAAGGTGGCCGAAGTCACGAAGGTACTGAATGATGCGATTATGACAGGGGATCTGCCTCGATGTTTTTTACAGAGGATGCGGAGGAAGATCAGAATCGTGTGGGCTAAAAACCCTACAGTTGCGGACTCTTTGCACAATCAACGGGCCTTTGCAGCCCAGAACGTGCTTACCTGCAAGTGCGCAGGTCTACCTTTCCCTAAGTCGGAAGGGCATGTCCGCTTCCCCATCATCTCCTTGGAGGATGTTCACCCTCTCCTGCATAACGCTCGTAATATACCTCGCGTGACATGTGATGACCGTCTGGGATTGTTGCAGACGGAGATTGCTGAAGGTTTTAGGCTGTGTAAGAACTGGAGAGGGAGGGTACGGACCTTTTCTAAGTTGGACCTGACTTGCTGCATGAGCGGCAGGTTCATACAAGAGGATGATCATCTGTTGACACAGCATGTCGTTGAGCTGAAAGGGCGACTGGAGGGCCTGGTTCTCACCCCACTGGATCGCAATCCGGGTGAGACTGTTGCAATGTGTCCTTTTCTGTACTACAGAGCGATGATGTCGACCTTTGTCCTAAATTCAGGCTATCGAGTTATGGAGATATCGGCAGAGCTGGTGCTCAGGGAAATGAAAGAGGAGGTGGATGGTAATGGACTCAAGAAGTTCGCTCGATGGGACAGCAAGGGAGAATTTGGAACAGCCTATGTCCTGCCGAAACACAAAGACCTGGACAGATATCGCCCAATTTGTCCTACGTTCAAGGAGCCTATGATTAGAACTGGTAGGGCAGTCTCACGTGGATTTAATCATCTACTGAAGAGTTTGCCCAGGAGTTGGCATTTCAATTTGGTTTCGGTTTCAGATCTTGCGACGAGGCTATCTGAGACTAATGATAGGCTGCTGAAGCGACGGGACAATTTTAACGTGTCTACCTTCTCCTTCGATATTAAGGACATGTCCAGTCAACTGCCGCATGCGGATATTCGACGGTCGCTGGACTGGCTATTCGAGTACCACCGTTCGAAAGGGCGTACTTTTGTGAGGGTGAACACTAGGGGTAAGGGCTCTACCTTTGGGAGGACAACGGGAGCTGATCATTGGAGATGCCTCCATTTTGAGCTTATGCTCCGCTTTCTGCACCTGGAGTTGGAGCATACATATACATTCGCCACAAGCGTTCTATTGAAACAAACTGTGGGTATCCTAATGGGGAAGACGACCAGCCCACCGCTTTCTTGTATATTGTGCGCCTATGCTGAGTATTCTATGCTCCGGGGTATTGGGAATGACGCGAGCGTGGTCCATGGCACCAGGTTGATTGATGATGTGATGGTGACTTTTGCCACCAAGGCGAACGGTAAGCTGGTTTTGTTGTTGTCTGCTTTCAGCATTTGTTACCCAGCTTCCCTTACCCTCAAGGGTACCGATGATGGGACCGGAATGTTCGAGTTCCTTGGTTGCTGAATTCGATCTCAGCAACGGTATCCTTACCTGAGTTGCTTTCAGATGTCGAAGAACGAGGACAACGTGTGGACGGAGGGTCAGCTATCCATTAAGAACGGGCAATCGTTCCTATCTTGGGGATGCAAGAAACAGAAGAGCACCGTTATCTGCAATCACCTACATAGGATTCACCGGAATACCACAATTCACTCAGAGATTCCCCGGCGTGTCCGTACTCTGAAACGTGAGCTCATGAAAAACGATTTTCCTAGCGACTTCTTTTTGAAGGTGCTGAAACGATTCGCTTTTCGAAAGGACGAGGTCTGGCAGCTCACGGTCGACCTGATGAGCAGTTAGTAACAAGATGCGCTGAGCCCCTGATGCACGGATTGCCATATGCTGTCTCATTTCGTTCCGCCTCAGAGAGATACCCGTCTGCTGTTGTGTTTAGCTCGACTAGAGTAGGTTTCTGTTTTCTGTATATGATGAGTGTTGTGGTAGGATTACCTCAGGTTGATGAATGTAGACCCATCTCCCCTCATTGTATCCGGGTAGGTGAAACTGGTGGTTATGCCTTTCATTACGGATTTGAGTGCTTGGGTGCCTCCTACCTGTACCGGTTACTTGCTCTTTGACAAGCTGACAAGGGACCATGAGCTGCTTCTTGATTTGTGCTCCGATCTATTTCCCCACTGTATCCGGGTGGGCCTGTTACTGTTTGTTGTGTCTTTAATCTGCATTCCGATAAATTTTATGCATTTGCTTGTGACATCTGTGTGTACTGGCGGCTGGCTCGATTGACGTAATGACGAGTCAGGACACCTATTAGTTTCTTCTTTTCTTTTCAAGTTTTGAGTATTTTCTGATTGGGTTGGCTGTTGCCCTATACGGGCCCTGTAGATATCACGGGACAGGGCGCCCTGGTATCCAGGCTGCGCTTGTCAAGGTCTTATTAGGAACTCTATGAGACAGGGGCCTACCTGTTGTCCGGTGTGATATTTTGTTGTACGTTGTAGGGTCAGGATGCCATTGAATACTAAGAGTTTCTGAATGTGTTGGGACAGGGTGCCCTTGTGCTGCTCCCTTAGGCCTTGGCTTGTTACTCAGGCATCTTTTGACTAAGGTAGGATAGAATAACCGTGCTTTGGGCTGGGCCAGGTACTGGGCTATTTTGGACTTTTGGTTTGTCGTATACCCTGGGTTTGCCGACACTGTAGGTAGGAATTGGACTGTGCGGACTTTGTGGGTAGTACTTAAGACAGGAATGCAACTTACTCGACCTCTTTTGGGACTGACGGCCTGCGACTCCTACTAGCGTCCGGGCGCGGGTAGGAGGAACGGACGGAAGTGGGTTAGCGATCGGACTGGTTAGTACGGGCTTAAAGGTGGTCAACCCCCTGAAGATGACGGCGTGGCTGGCGTCAAAACGCGTCGGGGACGCCTATTCCACTGTATAATCTTTCTTGTATTTTGCATTTGTTCTGCATGAGTACGACAGTATGTTTTTTTACCATTCGGTCTACGATTGAAGACTTGTCTACGTTTGCTCTGCTTTGCTTTGCTTTTGAAGACTTTCTCTATCCTTCATACTTCATACACCCACGCACATACAAACAAGGCACACGAAGAAGAACTCAACCGTACGCATTACTTGGGAAACAATCCTCTTATTTACACACCATACGAGGGCGGCCGTCATCCTTTTAATTCGGCCAATCTGTCCCTACCGAGGGGACTTAATCGCTTCATATGATACACAAGAACTCGCGATGAGAAAGCGGTTGTGCTCACATACATAAAAACAATATACACATACACAAGTATTAGATTACACACATTTCTTTAGAAAACTCCTTTTACTTACAGACCATACGGGAGCGGCCGTCATTCCTTATTTCGGCCAATTTTTTTTTACCAAGGAGACGTAACGCTTCTCGCCAGAACTCTCAATGAGAGAAGCGGCTATGAATAGAGAAGTTCAGATGAAAAACTTTGAGACCGAAAACGAGAAGTCCAAAATCATAGGCACGGGGCGTCCGCAAGGCTGAGGATGCATGATCGATTCCGTGTCTTCAGCCTCGTTCCGTGCTACTTCATCAACGAACGTCATCATAAAGAAATGCAGGCAGCTGGGGAGAATTGCAGATGAGCTAAGTGAAGAGTCAATAACTCATTTCAAATCTCATTTGTAGAATCAGACTTAAATTTCCTACTGATGATGATCGAAATGCAATATTAAATATAACCATCGTAAAAGCATGAAGTAACATTCATCCCCTTTGCTTTCCTGTCTTTTTTTTTTTTTTTTTTTTTTTTTTGGAATAGAAAAGTTGACAAGACTAGGCTGCTGAGGCCGCGGCTCAACAGAAACTGGCTTCATTCCGCCCCCCCCTTTTTTTTTTCTTTTTTTTTTTTTACAAAGATGCAGCTGGCTTTCCTAATTAAGAGGTCATGAACCAGCCATAAGAATGCACATAAACATGCTAATTTGCAAGGAATTAACCGTATTCCGAATACTTGAAATTGCAACTGAAAGTGCAAGACGAACAGTAGTTCAATCAAATCATTG